TGCAGGGCTCCTGCTGCACTAATAATAACGGGTTGAATGAGGTGGGCAAAGAACCTGCCTCGGGTGTTTGTGTGTGTGTGTGAGTGCTTGTGGGAAGCACTCACAATATTCCCCATCTCCTAATTCTGAAGAGGTATTTTTAGTGCTTATTTCAAAGAGCTTTACATAAACACATCTGCTGGAGGTTTTGCTGGGAAATGTCTTTATGACAGTCTTTTCTGTCCCCTCCCTCTCGGGGGACAAGGGAATGGTCTGAGCATTTTCTTTTTCAATCAGATAAGCAAAGCCAGAGAGCAAGAGAGAAAATCACAGGCTCATTTTGCCGGTGCCAAAAAGCTTCTCAGCCCAAAGGGTGGATTTTAGAAACACTTTGAGCAGCTCAGATCACCCTCACTAGAGCCCAGGGCAGGAGCACAACGTGATGTGGCTGTGGCAGAGAGTGCAAGGATGTGGGAGAGCAGGGATCCTGACCAATCACTGCCCGCTCTTGCACAGCCAAAACCTCCAGGTGAGGAAAGGAGATGAAGGATGGGATATTCTGTTACCTGTCCATGCACTTTTTGCATGGTACTCAGGAGAAATAGCAGGAACATCCCTGGTGCAAGTAGCTGCAGGCACAGGAGTTTCTCCAGCCTCCCCTCAGGATGCCATATCCTGATGTTCCCAGTTCCAGGCAAGGTGTCCATCCTTCATCATTCAATACCAGTGAAACATTCACAGCTTTTAGGCTCATCAGAGATGTTTTAGCCTTTTTTCTCCGGGGGGTTTGGTTGGCTGAAGCTGCTCCTGCCTTTTCACTGAGGGGTGTAGAGATGATGGGAGCATGAAGGCAGCTAGGGCTGAAGCAGGGAATGTAGTAAAGTTTCTGTATTGGCTATCCCAAATCCTGTGACCTTGGAAATGCTGCCAGTGCAGGTCTGCCAAGTGCACTCAGTGCCCAGGGCCTCTGAAGTGCTTCTGCATCCAGCACCCAACCCAGCTGCATGTGCAAAGGAAAATAAAGGATAAAAAAAATCCCCAAAAACTGCTTGGTTAGCATGGTCCAGCCCCAGTTTGCTTACACTGCTGCTTGCAGGGCAGCTGGGAAGGACACAGGGGCTGCACAAGGCCATTGACAGCTGGAACTGCTGGGGTCCATCCTGTGGAGGTGAGGGACAACACAATTGAGTGGGGAGATGGTCTGGTGTCACAGTCTGGCAGCTGAAAGGTCACAGGGAGACAATTTTCCTGCTTTTGTCTCCTCTTGAGATGAGTTACTGGAGGGAAAGGCTGATTGATGGAAGGCTTGTGGCAGGAGGCAGCTGCAGGGCCAGGGGAGCTGGGCTGGGACACGGGAGCCTGTGGGCAGGGGATGGCAGCACCCAGGGAATGTCAAGTGCACAGCAAAGCCCCCTGAGTGCTGTCACTGCGGGCTGGGGGTGTCACTGGGCTCAGCTCCCCGAGCAGCCTGTGTCACCAAGTGCCACATGCCATGGCCTGATGAGATGGCATTGGCTGTGGCAGGCAGCATGGCAGCCCAGGATGGAGGGATGGGCATGGTTTGGGAGTTTGCTCCCTGAGGCAGCCAGTGCTTTGTGCCTTTGTCCTGTCCTCTGTGGGCAGTGCCAGGATCTGTCTGTGGGCAAGGGCAGGCATTAGCTGCTCTCCATGGTATCCCCACACACTGGGGGTCACATCCCTTCCCCAGGCAAGGGAGGCAGAGTGGGCTTGGCCTCAGGGCATTGCCAGCATCAAAGAGCCATCCATCCCTTCTCCTCCATGTGGCCACAGTGGTTTATGGTGGTTTCATCCACCTTCAAATAAGGGATGTTGGGTTCCTTCCCAGCAGTGACCTTTCCTGCATCACTTGTATTGGGGTAGGCAGTAGATCATGACCCTCTGCTGCCAACACGTTCTGTTAGAGAGGGAATACATGTGAGAGCCCAAATCTGACACCACACTGTGGAGGTGGGCAAGCTGGGCTGGGAGAGGCTTGTGCTGAGGACACTGTGTGCCTGCTGCTTCTCTTCCAGCCACTGCAGCATTGGCAAAATTTGCCATGAGCCCAAAAACCCCTCCTGGACCAGAGACTGCTGGGATGGGAAGGGACAGGATGAGCCAGCTGTGGTGGGTGGTTGCACAGGGCATGTTCTGCACTGAGTGGGGGGCAGGCAGCACACAGGTGCCCTGCTCTGGGGCGGGGGATCTCCCATCAGGAGCAGCTGTGCTGCTTCTGCACAGGTCTGATGGACAGGCTGGGTTTCTGCACAGGAGAAAGAAAGGGAAGAGAAAAACAAGTGCAAGTGATCAAATTGCCAAGTAGAAATGGAGAAGCTTGGAGGGCAGGTGGGATGGGTGGGCAGCTGCCTTGTCCTGGTCTGCCTGCCTGTGGCCAGGACTGAGTGCATCCTTAAGGACAAACATGCAGCCAAACAAAGCAAAGAGAGGGAAAGAGGCTGTGTGCTTCACCAGGAGTGCTGGGACAGTGCTGCCCCCCAGCAGGGCACCCTCCTGCCTCCCCTGGCACAGCCCCTGGGCTGAGTGAGCCCCGTGCTCCCAGCAGCATCCTGCCGAGCATCCCCGCTGCTCTCCCTGGGCCAGCTCCAGCACAAACACCCACAGAGGCTTCTTCTTTTCTGCTGCAGGCACAAACAGCAGGGAGGGTGTGATAATCCCTCCTTGGAGGCCACAGAGATCATTCACACCAAACTGCATCACTTTTATATCAGTCATGAAAGACACGAAAGACAATAAGAAAAGAAAATGTTTTTTTTTAATATATATATATTTTCAATCAATGTCTATGGAGCTCCACGCCAGGGGATTACCAGCCAGTTTAAAGCATTAGTGACTCTCAGCATCCATCAGAGGAGAACATTTGGTTGAATGGAAGCCAGCCTTTGATGGAATTGGAGAATAATTATTTCCATCAATAATTACTTCCAAGCCCAGAAGAAATGGCTCCTGGCACATTGCAGGACAGCAGTCCTTGATTGCCTCGAGGCCAATATGTTTTGACCCCAGGACCTGGAAATCCCATTAGAGGCTGGGTGACAAGGATGTCACCTGCTGTGCCCGGGTCCTGGCACTGGTGTTCCAGCCTGCTGCCAGCCTGGGGAGGATCTCCCCTGCCTCTGCTGCTGGAGTGCATCCAGCTCAGGCTTTGCACAGGTCATTAATTTGGGGACTTTTTAATGGATCCTAATGATTGAGCCTCAGAAGGCTGCTCTTAAAAGGGGTTTGGGAAAGGCCACAAGCCAATTAGCTGGCACACAGAAAATGATTAACCATGTAGCTTCCTGGATGGTTAAAAATAATGGAGATGTTGGGAAGCAACTGTGGGATTTATTACAGACTTTTTAAAGCAAGAGGGATTATTCACCTCCTGCATGTTCTAGGCCAGAAACATTTCACCCAGCTTCTCCCCACTGATCCCTGTCCCTTTTATTTGGCTGTGCATATCCTTAAATGTTAAGGCATTACAAAATGGGCTCCAAGGAGGAGCTGGCTGTTAGAGAAAGTGGATACTTGTTGAGAGAGAAAACACAGGTGGGAAGAGAGGGGTGACCCATCTGCAGATGCTCCTGTGCCAATTCCAACCCCAAGGAGTGTTATTCATGGCTGAGGCAGGCAGCAGGAGGTTCCCTGGGGCATGCAAGGCTCTGGCCATGCCTAACTGGGGCTTTTTTAATGTGCCATTGCTCTTTAACCACTCTCTTGCCCCCACTTAACCTTAATGCTTAATGTGCAGCACACACCTGGCCCTGGCCCTTGTTGCTGTCTCCACAGCCCATGTGTGATGGCTGTAGTGGTCTCTGCTGCCAAAGCATCTTTCAGTGTGGCTGCAGGGCTGGCAGGGGGACATCCCAGCTCCCCCTGTTCTGCTGGGATCCACATGGCCTGAGGGCTCCAGAGTGCTGCCTTCCAAGGAGAGGAGGCAAGCCTGGTGACAGACACAGCCATGGGACTTGCAGAGCTGACCCTAAAGTGGCACCCACAGCCCAGTCCTGGGATTGGTTTTAAAATGGTAATTGGAAGAAATGGGGACCCTTTTAGTGCCAGATGAGCCCAGCCTCCCCTGGGTATCACCCCACAGCCTGGCTGGGCCTGGACATGCCCACGTTTGCTTTATCAATTCCATAATGCTCTGGATGACACTAAACCCCAGCGTCTTCAGCACCCCTGCTGGGGATGGTTTATGGCTTTTCATTAATCTTTTCATTCTTTGAAATAAATATCTGCGGGGCCTAGAAACCTATTTACTTTCCTCCTGAGTGTCTGCACGACAGACTTGTTTGGGTTTGTTTTCTCCATTCAGCAGCTTCTTTTCTCCATTTCAGCTTGCACAAACCCCAGTGTTTCTTAGAAACCACTGCCTCCAGGCTTTCCCTGCCTTTGCTCTGCTCCTTGCCAGCTCCCAGGGCTCTTTGAGGCACTGACCTGGCCCAGATGGTTCCCCTTAACTCTGCTGGGCTGTCCCAGGTTCTCAAGGTTGAGCTGTCAGCAGGACCAGGTGTGTTCATAAGCCCAGCACCTTATTTGTAGGATGTTTGCTGCCAGTCAAGGATGAGGATGTGTGGCAAGGTGTTTTTGAGGCATTAGCAGGCTGAGAAAACTACATTTGAAATGGGAAAGGATTTTGGATTTTTTTCCTATTGGAGTGCAAAATCTGTGCTGTCTCTGCAGAGCTAGTGATCTAAACTCCACAGTGAAGACAAAGATGTCCTGACTGGCTCCAGGCTTTTGTTCCCATTGGATTGGATCTGGCCCTGTGCTGTCCAGCTGCACGATGCTCATGGCATCTCTGCCTGGAGAATGAGCAGAGCATGCCTGGTCTGGGGTGCAGCTTGGCTTGGGAATGGGGCATTCCAGAGCCCTGTGGGAGCACTGAGAGCAATCCGCAGCTCTCCTTCCCAGCTGCACAGCTCCTGCCTGCAAAAGGAGATTCCCCAGGATGTGGGGAATGGCCCCAGCTGAAGGCACAGCTCCTGATGGCTCTTTGTCACCTCTTGCCCCGGCAGTGGGACGCTCAGCTGCCTGCCGTACCCTGCGGAGGACAGACGGCCCGAGAAGCTGAGCAGCTGCGTGGTCAGGGAGCCTGCCAGCACCAATGGCTGTGCCAAGGGGAGGGACAGACGGGACCATGGCCACCGCAGGTCACGCAGGTACGAGCCAGGGCCATCAGCAGGGCCACCCTGGGACACGGTGGGTGGCAGGGGAGGGACAGAGGGGATCATAGCCACGACAGGTACAAGCCAGGGCTGTCAGCAGGGTCACCCTGGGGTGGCAGGGGAGGGACAGACGGGACCATGGCACCGCATGTAGGAGCCAGGGCCATCAGCAGGGCCACCCTGGGACATGGTGGGTGGCAGGGGAGGTGTCTGTGGATGTTTGCTCAGCCCCTCTGGGGTCTGTGAGAGCTGGGGGTGGATTCAATGGCTCTGTGTGTGTGCACAGAAAATGTGTGCAATCGCATGAAATCCCTGTGTGAGCTTGCAGGGACAAACCTGCAGTTTGTTTCTACTCCAAGGCGTGCTCCTACAGCCTCCTTCAGAGTCTTCCAAGGCCTGCCAGTGCTCCTCTGCCTGCCAGGTCTGCTGGGAATCGCCCTGAGCAATTCCCCTCTCCCCATGCTAGATCAGCTCAGCAGCACTGCCTTCATTAGGACACAGCCTCGTTATCAGCTTGTCGTTAGTCCCTGACCACTTGAGAGGAGAAAAATGAATGAAACGTTGTAAATGAAGCAGCTGGGGTCTCGGAGCCCTGCCTGCTCAACCGTCTCTGGGATTAAAGTCTCTCTGCTCAGTTAAAGATGCAGGAAAGAAAAAGCAAGAAAGCACATTTCATATCTTCAGATTTCAGGCCAACCAGAACAATAATCTAAAGCACACTTTTAATTAGACTTTGATTATTATCACGGAGGAACAATTGAAGTCAGATCAGTGCACGGGAGAAAGCTGCCACATCAAAGACAAAAGACTTTATGTGGGGAGAGGGAGAAGGGCTCTGCAGAAAGTGCCTGGGGCTGCATGGCCAGATGTTGCTCTCCTGTGGCTGTGGCAGTGCCCAGCCGTGTCCCTGGGTGTCTTTGGGCAGGTGTCTGAGCTCAGTGACAATGAGACATCCTGGAAAATGCAGATTTCTGTCTGCAGGGAGGTGGAAGGGCCACCAAGGTGTGCCACATCCTGCTGCTGATCCGTGAAATCCTTGGGAGGAGCAGTGAGGAGGAGGATGTGGGTGCTCCATGGGGCCATGCCGTGCTTGCTCACTGAATTTACTGCACCAGAAGCACTCATTATTCACAGCTCACAACTGAAGCATTAGCCTGCAGTTTCATTTTGCAGAGCTTTTATTTTTTTTTTCCCAAAGTGTATTAAAAGCACTAAGCAATTGAGTTTTTATGATATGTAATTTCAGTGGTAATTCAAGCCCTGGATGATCAAGTGTTGTCGGGGTGGTGGAGTCTGAGTGTCCCCCCCCAAAGTGTCGTTTGCTCTGCATTAGTACTTTCATTAGCAATAATGTTTGTTCTTGCTGCAGAAAACTGCTCAATTTCTAGCCTGTTTTGTAGTGAAGATCTCACAGCATTTTCCAGCTGTAGGGCTGCTTCTACCCATCCCTTGCTCCTGGCTATTCCCAGGGGCAGGATGAGAAGTGAGGAAACTGAGGCACAAACCCAGCACCTTCAGTGATTTTTCAGAGGCCCTGGGGAGCTCACTGTGCCCCCACAAACCTTGGTCCTGGATCCTTTTGGACCGGTGGATCTGTTTGGAGATGCACATGGCTGATTTGGGCTGATTTAGGGATGCCACCAGCTGCCTCTGTCTTTACAAGCATTTGCTTTAGTTAATGAGTAGCCACAGAGTATCTGTCATTTTTTTTCAGCCCAATACTCTGAATTAATTAACCACGGTATTTGCTTTTCATTGAAACATAACACGATTCAGCATCATATGTTTAAAGAAGAAATTAATTTGCAGGAGGGTTTATTTTCAAGGTTTAACAACTGTATAAGAGATGCATATCTCCTTCAATTTCCATAATGTCTCAATAAATATATATATATTTCTAATCAATTGCTACTTAACACATGTCAAGTCTTTATTATAGTTAGATGCATCTGGTTGCAATAATTACTGTATGCAAATTAAATGTCAATTAATTATTTAAAGCATATTTACAAAGAGCAACAAAACCTATAAATCTGTTTTGGAGTCGTTAACCTCAGCAAACATGTTTTAGATAATCAGCATTGCTGTGGTGGAGCTGTCTTGTTATATCTCTGTTAGACAGTTTGTTTAAACTGTGACTAAATAATTCGTTAGAGGGTAATGAGGCAACACCCACACCCACCATGAACACTGACCTTGCTGGCCCATGTCCCTGAGGTGGCGATGCAAGAGAGTCCCATGTGAGCCCATTCAGGGTTTATTTTTATTATTTTTAATGTTTATTGGGTCTTGTCCCCCATCCTCAGCCCTTCGTGTGATGGGGAGCGGCTACTGCCAGCTCGGGGGAAGAAGAAGAAAAAGAAATCTGGCCGCAAGAAGAGAAGGAGGTGAGAGAGCCATGGCGGTGTGAGGGGACACACAGGGCAGCCCTTGGCTGGGTGTGAGAGAGGGGGATCGTGAGGGAGCCATGGCGGTGTGAGGGGACACACAGGGCAGCCCTTGGCTGGGTGTGAGGGAGCCATGGTGGCATGAGGGAGCCATGGTGGCGTGAGGGACACACAGGCCAGCTATTGGCTGGATGTGAGGGGAGAGTGTCATGAGGGAGCCATGGTGGTGGTAGGGGACAGGCAGGGCAGCCCTTGGCTGGGTGTGAGGGAAGAGCATCATGAGGCAGCCATGGTGTCATGAGGGGCCAAGCAAGGCAGTTCTTGGCTGGGTATGAGGGAGCCATGGCAGTGTGAGGGACAGGAAGGCCAGCCCTTGGCTGGGTATGAGGGGAAAGGGTCAGTGTAAGATGGAGGAGTGAGGCCTGGGGGTTCCACAGCCCAGGGAGGAGCCGCCATCTTCTCGCCCTCCCCTCAGGGCAGCAGAGTTGGGTTGAGGCTCATCCCTGAGTCCATCCCTTGACCCATCCTGCTCCTACCAGGACCCCCAGCCACTCTCTGCCCTGGAGATGCCACTGCTAGTGGGGTGAGTGTTGGGGTGGCCAGCAAGGCTGTGAGCAGCCCTGTAGTCCCTAATGCGTCTCTGTCCTCCCTCAGGTCTCCCTCCTACAGCCCTTCACCTGTGAAGAAGAAGAAGAAGAAAAGCTCCAAGAAGCGAAAAAAAACCAGGTATTTTTTTCCTTGAAGATGCAATGGCTTTTGGATGGGTGTTTGGAGAAGGGGTGGAAGGCACTGTGGCCTGGGCAGCTGTTGGTCCCAGTGGGCAGAGAGGTGTGAGGCTCTGAGCACTGCCAAAAGGAGGCATAGCCTGAGTCCCTCTGGGCTAGGAGGGCATGGAATGGGGTGTCCACCCAGTGCAAACAGAGAAATGTGAACTGTTGGGCTGTGGGGACACAGAGGTGGACAAGCCAAATCACTGAGAGGTCTGTGGAGCCTCAGCCTGCTGTCCTTGCTGTCCTATTCACATGTGTCCATGCTCTGGAATGCCAGTGGGATCAGTGCTCAGGGCTTGTGCTGGTTCCCATCCCTTCCTCCCCAGCCCTCCCCAGCCTGCAGAGAGTGTCAGGACCAGAAAATGGCTCAGACCAACTCCCCACACCCACATCCCAATCTCCTCTCCCAGCCCCAGTGACTGTTTCCACCTTCTCCTCTGAAGTCCATTTTTAATTCAAAGAGCATGATTAAATTTTAAAATTGCAAATATTTCACTGTTTTCTCTCAGCTGTTAAACCAATATTTGACGAGAACAGTGGATTCCATCTCCCTAAGAAGGTTCATGTATTTATAATATACTGAACCAAAGAGAGAAGCTACCAAAAGTGAATAACAGGGTGAAAAGTAGAGCTTGAATCTCCAAAGAGCAAGAGAGAAGGAGAGACAAATATATAGGAACTTCTCTAAAAGACTTTCTTCACAAAGAGGAATTCTTATGCTCTTTTGTGGATGCCGTCTTCTGATGGAAGTCCTGGGTCAGAGACTCTGGCTTTGAACCCTTGGTAGCCATTTAGGTGTGTCCTATGTCATCCCAATGGTGCTCCAGGAGGCAAGACAGAGCCATGATGCTGGTTTGGCTGTGAGGCTGCTCTGGAGTTACACAGAGAGGATTTTTCCCTTGACTGCTATTTGGTCTTTCATACAGATAACCAGGGAATGGACCCACCTCTACATGCAGTGCAAAACTGGAGGCAGTAGCAGAGAAAAAGGACCCACCAGAGATAGGGGATGTATCTGATCTCTCTAAAGACTTGTTATCCTGAGGACTATGTTCTCAGTTACTTGTAGGGAAATACTGCAAACCAGTATTTTTTCGCTGCTCCCTCACCAGCTGCCTAAAGGAGAGGCAGGACCATTCTGCTCAATGAGGCCTTTTCTCAGTGCTCAGTCTGAGCCTTAACATTGTCTTGGACTCAAATTTCCAATTTTGTGAGACCCTGTATTCAGTGTACGTATTTGTGTCTTGCAGGTTGTCATCAAAGAAGAGAAGGCACAGGTAAGAGTTGAGCAAGTGTGGGTGGTCCCTTAGAAATAAGAGTTTAATGGTCTTTTCAAGGTTGATGTTCACTGATTGGGAGCAGAGGACATTTCTTCTGTTTTTCCTTGTGGAATTCCCTTGGGTCTCCCCCATTCCATGTGGTTTTGGGGTCAGTGACTCCCATGGTGTGGACTGGAAGAGTTCTGATTCCAGTATCTGTGTATATATTATCAAGAAATACTCATTTTCTCTATGGAAAAAGGCAAAGTCACCAAGTTGGCTGATCCCTTTGAGGGTTTTGGCCAAGCCCATGAAGCAGATTTGTCAGCAGGCACTCAGACCCCCTGTGCTGTGACAACCATGATTCCCTTTCATTTTTACTGCATGCTCTTGGGCAACTGAGCTGTAACATTGATTGTGTGATTGTGCAGCTTTTTATCGGAACAGAAATCTCCAAATTAATTAGCCATTTCTTATTTAGTTCTTCAAGCCCCAAAAGTAAGAGAAAGGAAGAAAGAAAACACAAAAAACAGTAAGTAGTGGTTCATGGAGTTCTCTGCCCTGCCTGCACAGTGTGGGGCTAGGAAGTGCTTGATGTGGTGGGGCCCCTGGAGCTAACACCTGCGGTACAGCTCTCAGCATTTCTCAGGATTACTTTGAAGCTAAAACCAGCAATTCTGGTTTTGCTGGAATGGAAAAGGGCTTGTAGAGGCTGGAGAGCTTTCCTCTGCCTTTCTTTTGTGACACCTCTTTCTGTACTTTGTGTATCTTGCACAGATGTGCAGAGTCTTGTCCATCCAGTCCAGAGAAAAGGCTCCAGCTTTTCTGGTGGGGGCAGCATGAGAGGCTGAACACTGACCTGCCAAAAGGGCAGGCTGGCACACCCTTATGGGAAGGGCCTCAGCAACTCCTGGTTTGCTGCTCTAGGAGGTTGCATTAGGACCTACCCATGAGATACAATACAGCCAAGGATCTGAATGGGGTCAAAGAGAAGAGAAGGGATTGCTTGGAGGGGATGGAGTTTGCAAAAATCTGGGCTTGAGGTTCAGCCCTGGATTGTTAGCAGAGCACAATCTTTGTCCTGTGGGGCACATGATTGAGGGGCATGGTATGAAATGGGGTTCCTTAGGACTGGAAGGAAGAACTGTTCCTCAGGACTGTAAGCTGCCTCTGTTTTCCGCTTCGTTCTCTGTCTTCTGGGAACTGCAACTTGTGGCTTCTGACCTGCTTTCAGAGCAAGGTAACAGTCTCGGGGCTGAACCTTGGGCACAGAGCCCCTGGTCAGCTCTGCTGGGCCTTGTGATACTGCCTCACAGGCCATCTCCATTGCATGCAGAAACCCGGTCTCCTTTTCGCTAAGAATTCTGCACATTAAGTGGCACAGTTTCAGCTCAGTTTCCCCTCAAGATGGGCTGCCCTGCACCTAGAAACCTCAGTGGTAAAAGAGAGGCTCCCTAGGTTATCTGTAAAAGGAGGCATCTCCCCAGCCTAACCATGCAGTTAAAGCTAAGATCCATGTCCTGCTGGTGTGCCCTGACCTCAGGGAACCAGAGCTGCTGGAATTGCTCTTGGGGGATAAACCAGCCCCAAGGCATTTTAGCTTCATTTTTCTGCTGGCAAATCAGAGCTCAGCCACTCCCAGTTTCTGCAAATCTTTTGCTCCCAGGCGTGGATCAGATGGATCCCATGAGGATTTTTTATAATCACACTGCTTTGACTTATCTTTGCATCGAGCAACTGGTTATCTAAAACACACAGGACCAGCCTTCCTTTCTGCAGGAAGGGAAGACAAATTGGAGGGACTGGTGCAGGGGGTGAAGGGCGAACACATGGATTTTCACACAAATCCACTATATGAGTGAAAGATGTTCAGTGTTGCTAATTTTAGCTGTATGGAAATAAGAAAGGAGGATCCCAAAATGCCAAGTTTAAGAAAAACAGAATCATTGGGTGTGAAAGGCATCAAAGAAAACAGCCAAGCAGAGTTGAAGGAATTGCCCCGGAGGTTGCCCTTTTGTCTTAAGGGAGATGCTGTTCTCAAGCAATTATTTGCTGAGTTTTTCTACCAGCAAGTTGCTAAATGCTGTCCAAGCAGGTTGTATTTGTGCTGTCAGAGCCTGTGTTGTGTGGCCATGAAGTCAGGCTGTTCCCACCAGCTCACCCACAGTTAGCTTTGCCTGCTGGCACAGCCATGCCAGCCTGAGCAGATGGAAATGCTTCCAGACCTAAATTAACTGCTGTGGTGAACAAAGATGGGAGGGATGGGGCACAGAAGGTGGCAGCTAGCCTGTCATCCATGTCACCCTGCTCTCTGCACCCAGGACTTCAGCTGTTGGCATGAACAACTATAGTCCTTAGGTAACAGGGCCAGGGAATCCATGAGAAACAGCCTGGTGGTGCAAAGGAGCTGCAGCAAGCCCTCTGTCCCCTGCACACAGTTTGCTGAGGACTGTCCTCAGGCCCTGCCAGAAAAGGCAGCAGCAGTGACTGGGCACCTGTCAGAAGCCAGGGATTTGGTCCTGTCTCTCAAGCAGGAGCAGTGCACAAGGCAGGCTGTGCTTAGGACAGCTGTACTTTGTGCAGCATCCACGAGAACTGCCCACAGGACTGGCTAAATGCTCCCACCTGGAGAGGGTGGGGAAGGCTGGCTGCTACTGAGTGAACTCTATCACTTGGAGCTCGTCCTTCTGCACCTGCTTTTTAACAAGGACTAGGGAGAGGGCTGGAGCTTTGTGATGGGTTGCACACAGAGATGGTCCTTCCCCCGAAGCTCAGCAACAGGAAGGTCTTGGGCAGTTGCCTGGCTGTTACAGGGTAGGCTGCAGGATGAAAGGCAAGCACATGGCTCTTTAAAGTCTTGGTGCTGGCTGCTGCACTCCCACATGCTTGTCCACAAATCTTCCCCCAGCATGCTACAGAGCCAACCTCTAATAGCTTGTGTGTAAAATGCTAGCAGAAATCTCAGGAAGGTGTCACTGCAGGGATGAAGGGACGGAGAATTTCTCATGCCTTGATGTTCTGTGCCACGTTTCATACACCAATCTCTTCGGTTTAAAAGGCATACCTCCCTTCTGATTTGAACATTATCGACCTCAGCCTTCAGCTGCTGGCTCTTGCATCCCCCACTTGCTCACCTAATGCTGGTTTTCTTTCTCTGCTTCTTAAAGCTCTCGTGGGCGCACCCGGAAATCCCATCGGCATCGGCGCTGCCACTCTCGCTCAGAGAGCTCCGACTCCCACTCCCCCAGCTGCCGGAGCAGGTAACAGCACTGCTCCTGAGCTCAGGGTCCCCAGCACTGCCCGCTGGGCTCAAGGATGTGGCTGCCACAGCCTGTGTGACCCCCAGGCTCTCTGTGCACAGCCACTGCCCATTCTGGCAGCAGCAGTGTCACACCGGGGGCTGAGCTGTTTGTGGTCTCAGCCATGGAAGGGTTTTGCCTCAGGAAGCAGTGGCTGCAGCTTTTTGATCTGAAAGTCACTTCTAATCCCCATGGCTGATGCTCAGCCTATGACAGCTGATTCCGGTCTAGTGTCCCTTCCCCAGCCCAAGGGTTTTGTACTGCTGATGTCCCAGGAAACCCTTAAACATGGTCTTAGCAATGGAAATATATTTGCCCATGGCAATCTGTAGTCATTGTCTTTGACCTGATTAAAATCTCTCCTCTGGATGACAGATGCATCCTGAGGCCGGCTAAGTGGATGCTGGTGCTAGACCCAGGATTGCTGCAATAGCAAGTCATTTATACACATAATAATTTCATTTTTCATGTTCTCTGAAAGCACTTGAACAGCCCACCCCCACTCTCCTACTTCACTCCTCCTAAGTACTGGGAATTTTCTTATGAAAAGCTGAAGATCAGTGGGGGGAGGAATGCGATCAGTAATTGGAGGGGTGCTCATACAAGAGCAGAGTGTGTTTTCTCTTGGAGGTGTGTCACCATAGGAACATTCTATGGTGCAGGAAGGTCATGGCTTGCCTCGAGCCACCATAAAATCATGCACTGGAGCTGAAATTTGAGGTTAAGGTCCAAAGCCTGGATGCAAAATTATTATTTTTCTTTTAAAGTAGAAAAGCAAAACATCCCTTTTCTCTCCCTCATGACTCCACAGAGCAGTCATGTGGAAGGACAGTCTCCCATGTGCAGAGTTCTAGCACAGACCTGCCAGGGGTTGGTGTGGAGCTGGGAAAGGGCACTAGTGCAATCCTAAGGAATAACATTTTGGTGTTCCTGTCTCCTGGAGGCACAGAGCCAGGTCTCGGGAGGAAGGGCGTAAAACACGGCGAAGGCGCTCCTGGCACCATTCAAAGATCACAGCAAAGAGAAGCTCCTCTGCAGATGTTCAGGCCAGTCAAAAAGCCAGCCAAACCCTCCCACTCTACAGCTTCCTGTCTTCTAAGGAAGTAGTAAGTATTACACACTGTCCTTCTTTGCTTGAATAGCCAGAGGAATCTGGGCAAGAACTCTGATATGAAATTTTTATAACTCAATTATAGTGATGTTAGACGAACTTGGTTAAACTGTATTATTAATTCATGGTGCTGTTTTCCAATGTATGTAAAGTCATTCCTTCCTTCAGCACTTTCACACCAAGGGTGGGGCTGGAGAGGGGGAAAACTTGAAAAGTCTTTAGCCTATGAATAATGAATTGAGGACATTTAACAAAAAAAAAAAAAAAAAAAAAAAAAAAAAAAAAAAAAACCAAAAAAAACCCAAAAGTGGCCTCCAGAAACGATATTTTAAAGGGAAGAGTTTGTTATGCAGTCTTTGCTCAGCTGGATGTGAACTTATTTCACTGGTCTTTACATCCAAAAGTTTAGTCCTTCAGGCTGAAAAAGGGTATCAAACATATACAGAAGGAACATTTACATTTAATGAGCTGGTGATTATTGGCATGGGATGTTTTCTGACTATCAGGATCCTTCTAAGATCACTGCTCCTCTGGACTGACAAGCCCAGGGGCCAAATTTGGAAGTTATGAGCAGCCCTCATTGATGCTAATGGGAACTGCATGTGCATCTGAGGGTAAAATCAGGCTCAGTGCCTTGGGATGTTTTTCCATATACACAGAAAGAGATCATATAATACATGAATTGAGGGAGCAAGAGATGGAGAGAAATATTATATAGAGATTGATATCAGCCTTCCTTTTCTGTGGCATGCTTCCCCTTTGTTCCTGGCAGCAGTAAAGCAGAGGTGTGATGCCTGACTGTGGTGTTGGTATCAGATAGGCACTCTGGAGAGAGAAATTGCTGCATAGGGCTGGAGGTAGTGCAGGATCTGGCAGTCACACGTGTGGATGTGTAATGCTAGAGGTGTTTTGACTAGAGTCCTCCAAGCCCCAAAGTTGTTTTCTCCTTTAGGCCCAGTCATCAGTTGGAAATAGCTCAGCCACACGCAGGAGCTACATCAGATAGGAGAGAGATGGTGCCAGCAAGAGGAGAGACTCTACCCACTCACCCACACAGACAGCGTGCCGATCAAAATACCCAGGGATTGTACGTGGGTACAGACAGGCACAAGCTGTCTCTCAACATTATAGATATGCATATTTGCTCTCGTTATAGAGCGTGTGGGGCCATGTGAGTCACTGCTTGTAAAGCCTTATAAGGCAGCCTGGAGAGCAGAACCTCACACCACACGCTGGTGTGTGCACGCACACGCACAGGAAGAAAAACAAGGTATGGAGCTCATTGTCATGAACTGGGGGTGTTGCTGAGCTCAGAGCTCCTCCCCCCCCACAAAAAACCAGTGAGCCAAAGACTGCATCATGTCACCAGGGTGTTGTTGAGTTCAAGCAGTGTATTTTTCATAAATGCTTTTGAGCCTAAGCCTAGTTTTTAATTAGTGCTAGGTTTCCTCTCTCGGAAGCCAGGCTTCCTAAGTCCTGTGAGGCCAACTGCCAGCTGTTCTGTTTCCTGAGAAAGAGTAAACTCTCATTTAAAATTTTAAAAGCTTTAAAATGAGCTAAACTCAAGCATCCTGCACTTGTTTTTCCATTTTGCTTCACTCGAGGTAAATGAGTGAAGCAAATGGAAAAGCTGCAGGGAAGGAAAGACAAGAGCTTGACAGTTCCAGATGCAGGGGGTGGATGCAAAGTAAAAGTCATCAGGATGCTCCTGTATTCTTTCTAGTAAGGGTTAATAACTTAGGCAAATATTTTAATGACTAAAAGGCATAATGACTCATGAAAGCCACTACTGTCCTCCTGTCCCCAAAAGAAGTACATTCTCTTGGGACACCATTCAAGAGCACATTTAAGCACTTGTTCAAATTGAAGCCCCTGGTTAAGAGCTGCCCCTGAAATTTTGCTGAATAAGGTCATTAAATATCATGTACTCAAAACTGGCAAGAGAAAAATGGAATGGGAACCTTTAGTCTCATTTATTAATGACTATACACAACCCTTTGAAGCCTTTCCTTTTCATGAGTTAAATGGTTGTTCTATGAATAAGCTTCGTTCTGTCAGACTTTGAGAGCAGCCTGAAATGAAAATGTGCTCTTGCAGAATATGTTGATCATATATTAAAAAAAGAAGCTGGAGAATAAAAGATTTTGTGGAAAAAAATAAGAATTAGGATTCAAAAATGCCATGTTTCAGTCCTCTGTGAGAATTGGTATGTTACACTCCCTATCCTTCCATCTGGCATGGGCTTCCAAAGCAAACCATCCTTACCTAGGGAGATGCACTGTCATATCTCCATAGAAAAGGGGCTGTCCAAGGAGGATCAGGGAAAAATACACAGAGGTACAGGCAAATATGAGATAATGCTGTAGCACTTCCAAAACAAAGATTTTGCTTTTCAAGATATTTTTTATTCTACATTATTTTGCTTCTGAAAATTTGAAGTGCTCTGTGGTAAATTCTGCTATCCTCCCCACCCTATTTGTCTTCATTCCTTCGTAATGAAACAGCCACAATTCCTAACTAGGTCTGCCTGGAACTGCTGGGGGATAAAGCACACAAAACAATGCCCTGCCTATGCATCTACCTTGCTGCTTCCTTGCCTCTTTATGCAAAAGCCGATGCACCCACACATGCATGTACACATGCAGAAACACCTCCAAGTTCCCTGCTACTTTTCTTTATGGCAGTGAATTTCCAAGCTTTTCCCTCTCCTCCTTCTTTAATCCCGTGCAGCAGCACGAGGCACCTGTGGAGAGCAGGACTGTGGGCCTGTGCCTCAGCAGGCACAGAGAGGCTGTGGGTAATGTGCAGCATTTATTTCTATGCAGAATACCCCTGCCCAGCTGCAGGCACTTTATTCCACACCGACACAGATGGATGACTGTGCCACCCTGCTTTCCTTTAGCAGTGCAATATAAATACCTGCAGGGCACGGATCTAATTGCCTTTGTTGTTGCTGATGAAGATAACTGCACCGTGCATACACTTTCCTTGCCAGCTCCTTTGCTTTCACTGTAACTCATTTGTGATGCCACAAATTATCACAGGCTTGAGCCAGATTTCCAGTGAAGCTCAGTGGGGTACAGCTGGTCCAAATGATGCTGTTTGTCTTTGTGCTCGTGTCTGCAGGAAGGTTGAATGGGGAAATGCTGTGCAGGGACTGGGACAGAGTGTGCTGGAAGGCTGAGGAAACCTTATGGCAGCTTGCTGCTGCTGTTTTCTAGCCTGGGTTTTGGCTTACATAGGAAAAACTATTCTTTTGAGTGCTAAGCAGTATATTTTTGACAGCAGACAGGGTCCTTCAAGAGCAGAAAGGGAAAACCTATAAATATAGAAGTTGTACTCTTTTTTTTCCTTTTCCTGTTTTCCTCTCCCAGCTGGGGGACTGAGGTTACCCCTGGTTATTGTGTGACAAATCCACAGCTCTGTGCTGGGAGCAGCAGCTGGAGGGAAAGGATCATTGCCTGTATCCATTGAAGGGCTGGGCTGTGCACCAGGTACCAAAAAGAGGTGGTGGAGGACAAACCCTTGCTCCAAAGCAGTGCCAGCCTGGCTCAAGCTGAGGTGGGGATGCAATGCCAGCACCCCAGCAGGCTAAAAAGATCCTTGAAAAGAAACAAACCTTTGCTTGGCATTCTCTGGAGTTTACCCCAGCAGTGTACTGGTGAGCCAGGCTGCTCAGCAGTGCCACCATCCAGCCCCAAATAACCCAAGCTCAGGGCTTGCAGGGACAGCTGTGTCATTGCCTCCCTGCTCTGTGGGACAGAAAGCCTCACCCTGAACTCTCCATCCAGCCAAAAAAAGGGGGATCTTCCCACTCAGTGTTCCTTGACTCAGGGACTCGTGAGTGTGCCAAAATACTGAATTCCTACAGAACTTGTGGTTTTGTACTCAGTCAGAAGTTGGCTTTCCAGCTGGGGTAGGCTCTCAGCAGAGGTGAGCCGTGTCCCCCAGCCCTGGCAGGTGGAGAGCCCCAGGGCAGGCACGCAGCCCCAGCAGGTGCTGGCCCCGCGCCGGCGGCGCTGGCAGATGCCGGCCGGGGTCACCGACACAAGTGTTTCACTCCTTTCATTAGCACAGTGCCTGGAAAAAGAGAGAAAAGCAGGCGTTATGCCCCTCTGAAAGAGAAATTAACTCTGCTTTGAAGTGAGTTGCAAAACAAGAGAAAAAAGGCCCACAGATGAAATCCTGCAGCTCTGAGTGAGGCTGTGCCACTCTGCTGTCCCCACATGGCTGAGACAACTTTGAGCATTGTCATCTCTCGCCCGGGGGCTGTTTGTGGCACAGTAAATGGAGCTGTTCAGTTTAATTGGAAGAAGAGCAGTGATTATATTTTTGTAACCTATTAGACTGCGCTGCCTCTTGGTCTGGGATTGCACTTGGAATTACAGTCTGGAATATGAGTGAGTGCTTCATTTCTGCTCCCCCCCTCATCTTGACTAAATAATGATTTGAAACGAAAAAAATCCAATAAATACATATCCTGGGTTCCCTTGAGGGCAGCAGTATGTTCCCTGCTGAAAGCTGGATGAAACAAAGTTCACTGAGATTATTTGATTACTTATTAGGTGTTGTGTGTGGGGGGAAATCCAAATGTTCACATAGAGAGAATTAGATTTGTGAAAGAGCAGGCTCTTTTAAGCCACCCTAGAAAAGTAAAAAGCCATTAGAATTCAGAATCACACAGAAATGGTGTGATTCAATTGAGCTCCGTGCAGTGTTTTTAGATGTGGCACTCTGTTTCCATCCTGGGTGACTGGCAAGACTTTCAGTAAAATGGGAACCACGAGCAAAGCCAAGATCACCCAGTGGGGAATAGAGGGAATTGGTCTGAGCAGGCAGGCAAGCTGAGCACCCTCTGATATGTCCTGGCTCCTGCTGCAGGGCAGAACCTCCCCCAGAGCCTGCAGGAAGCCACTGGTTACAGCCTGGTGCCCCAGGGTGGTGGGGCTGAGAAGCTGCTGTGTCCCCCCTGACACCTCCCTGGCCCCATGCAGACCCTCCAGCCCTCTCCCAGACTGTCAGCTCCATATTTCACTGATACCCACACTGCCTCTTGCCAGTGTTCCTGCCACAGATGTTGAACTACAGAGGAGCTTGTTGATCCTCCCGGTCATTTGACAGATTTTGTGATATGCTGACAACAGTTGCTGCTTTGAAGGTAGATGTCAGCCAAGGCAGAGCAGAAGCAAGGATGCCAGGTCCTGCAGTCAGTCTGAAAAGCTGGTTTAGAAATGCCAAGAAACTGCTGTATTTCTTGGCAGCAGTAATAGCTTTTCAGTTTAAACTGGGAAGGAACAGAAGGAAGGTATCTCTGTGTGTGATGCTGGGGTCAGTGTCCCTTGGAACAACCCTGTGCCCACTCCACGCTCAGCCTACCCTTGCAGCCAGGGAGTACCTCACAGGCTGTTTATGCCTGTAAGTGAAACGTGATGTAAAGCTGGTTGTCTCTAGGTTAGGATCCAGCTTAAATGCAAACCAAAACCCATCTTTTAAGAAAAATTCCTGGTAATATATTTGAAAGTGCAATCCTGTATATTCTGGAATGTGGCTGGGGAGAGTGCAGCGGTCCATAGCACAGAGGTCAGATCTCTTGGGGCTCTGGATGTGGCATCAGGGTTTCAGCAAGAGCTGGTGAAAAGCAGAGCTGGTTATTTGGCTCCCTTGGGCTCCTGTGACATTCCAGTTTCTGCTGGAGTAAGCAAGGACCTGTAGAGAATTGCTAGAGCAGAGAAGAAGCAAGGAGCAATTCCAGATGCTGAAATGAGGACTTGCAATGTGTGTCTCCACTCATTCCTAGCTGGGAGCATTTGGGAGATATTTCTGCTCTGTCCAGGGCTTCTGGATTGAAGGTGCAAGTTGGCTAATGAAGAAGGATCACTTAATTTCCCATGTTTGCTGCTGGGGCTTCTGATTCCTCTGAGCTGGGACTGAGCATCAGTTAGAAGTTAGTGTGGGGTGGAGATGGGGAACTCCATTATGGATTTGCTGGGATGAACCAATCCTGTATCCCAGAAGCAGTAACGCTTCTTTCCCTGGCAACACAGAAAGTACTTGGAGATCCTCCAGCTCCAGGTGTTTTCAGAGCAGCAGAGTGCTGTGGGCAGCCATCCTGGTGCAGACTGTGCTGAGAGCTGCTGTGGGTGTTGGTAGCTCTGCTCTGGTTTCAGTCCCTGCTGGTTCAGCACCTGTGTCCCAGTCAGCTGTCCCTGTCCCAGTTAGCACCTTGAACTGGGTCGGGAGCAGCCCTCCCTGGGGACACAGACTGAATGCCACTGGCAGCAGTGTGGATGTGGAGGCACCATCTGATAGGATGGAGATCCATGTGAAACATGACACAGGCTGAGTCTGCAGCCCCTCTGAGGATGAAAAAGTCATCCAATCCAGAGCTAAACTTTCCAAAGGGACTGGCCCTGTGCCTGCTGTGTGACAGCTGATCCAGGTCTCCTCGGCTGCCTGAGATAGCACCAACATTGCAATGTGGTTTTTTGGCTCAGAAGGTCCCAGACTGGTGCCCAGGTCCCTGGTGTGGAGAGCATGGCATAGATGGGGCATTGTGTGCCCCAGAATGTGGCATGAGGGCATGTGCACGAGTGTGAGGGAGCACGGCTTGCTGGGAACATGTTTGGAGGACTGTCCTGAGGTGGGGGAGCCAAACCTGTGTGTCCCCACTCTAAGAACCCTGCACCAAACCTCATGAGTGGGTTTGAGGAGAGTGGAGGCTCTGAGTGAAAGAGGAGGAGGCCACATGAGAGTCCAGATGTGTGCACTGGGCCCTAATTCTCACCCCATTGCAAGGGCAGATGTTAGCACTAGCACAGCCTCACTCCCAGTGCTGCCACATGCCTGAGCTGGCTCAGGTAAATGCCAGTGCAGTTAAAACTGAACTATAAAATACTGAAATGATGCAAATCCCCTTGGTGGTGCTCAGGGTCCCAGAGAATAGCCCAGCCCAGGTCGGTCTGTGTGAGTTTGGGTCCTTGCTTGCTTGTTATGCTCAGGAGCCCGGTCAGGGTGTGGCTGGACCCCCTTGCAGAGGCTGGCAGGAGCAGGGCTGCTGTCCCCTTCCCCACAGTGGGGACACTCTTCCTCCTCCATTCTTTTGCTTCTTCCCTCACTGAGTTCCCTTTGTCATTTCCATACAGCTCAGGGGGATTCAGTGCAAGCTGCAGCTTTCAGCACAAGCCATCAGCCTCCAGGAACGGGCTGGACAGGCTAATTTAAAACAGAAGGAAACAAAAATGAATAATAAGGGAGAGAGTCAAGCAGACAAAAAGCAGTCATGACATTTGCATAGAGGAGGCAGCAAACAGTTGGCAGTGTGGATTGAAGAGAGGGTTTATGTTTTTTTCATGTAATTTGAGACTCTAATGATGGACTTATGTTGCCCGCTCTTCCTTTTTTCTTACACCTTACCTACTAAAGGAGGAGTTCTTGATGGGTAAGTGGATGCTATCCGCAAGACACCAGGGAATTTATTAGAGGTCACTTGAGCGCATTAGCTATATCTTCTTCAGGGGGTAAAAAGCACACAAAGAAATATCTGTATACCTTTTATTTCCAAAGGGATTTTTCTTTTTTCCCCTCACCCTATTTTTTCTTTTTATTTTTACTTTTTTCTTTTTTTTTAATTTCAAAGTGATAAGCTTGTTTATTTGCCAGTTTTTGCTTTGTACAGAAGCCCTTAATTTGATTTGATTTAGTTTTTTGTTGCTTATTTTAGTGACATTGGTTCAGCCACTTTATTAAGGAAGCTTAAAAAAATTCACTCATCTAAGTTTTTGTTTCATTTTTGTTTTCTTTGCAAGGATTATGTAGGTTTTTTATATGTATATACCCCTTTTATTTTCCTCCCCTTTTTAAGGTTAAATAAGGGCTTTGTCCTCTGTTACATTTTTTATTTAGTTAGTTATTTTAATTCTTTGGTTGCCCACTTACTTTGTTGAACTCTTTTGTTTAACATGAACCGCATGCTGATACTCTTTGCATGATCTCTAAATCTTCCCGTTATTATACAGGGGGAAAATAAGTTTCTTCTTACTGTGGATTTCTTTTAGGGATATGTGCTTTTGTTTTCTTCTCCTTTCTTCTCTTTTTCTTTCTTTCTTACTTTGTTTCTTTCCTTTCCTTTTGTTTCAGTGCATCATGATGGTAAAATTTCTGGGTTTATTTGAAAAAAAAAAAAAAAAAAGCAAAGTAAAACCAAAACCAACCCCCCCAAAAACCATTCAAACAATGCCAAATGGCTTTTTTGCTTTCAGATCTCTCAGTCAGGGTCTTCTGCTGACCTCTTTACCAAAACAGACAGCCCGCCTGGCAACCTAGCCAGCCAGAATGGAGAGTATCATGAATATGACTCAGGAAACGATACTTCCTCCCCTCCCTCCACTCAAACGAGCTCATCCAGGTCAAAGGACAGCCAGGAGAAAAGAAGTCTAGTCCATGATGGCTTTGGCCATGCCTTCTCGTCCGGGAAGCCCAAACTGGCCAACAGCGGTAACAGCTCTGATTCAGGAAATTCCTTCACCAGTTGCTTTTCCCACACCAAGGGAACAGCTTTGGAAAATCTGTCTCCAGATGCCCAGGGACAAGACCGAAGGTCAGTGATTACCAGTAGCTGCTGGTACGTTGTTGCTCTGTGTCTCCTGCCTGCTCCAGCTGCCGTGGTGAGCTGGCAGGGAGCTTTGTGTGCTCTGGAGGCAGGCAGGTACCAACCAGACCCACGGTCTTGCCAGTCTGGAGTCCAGAACTCAGCAAGGACCAGTTGTGTAGCCTGAGGAGGAAGATAAAACCCAGCCATCACATCCCTGGACATTGCTTGTGGCAGTGTTTTGGCATTGCTGTGGCTCATGCAGGGTTTGGGCCTGGGTCAGGCTGTGGTCACAGCACATCCCTGCTCACCTGGGCATGGCCATGTCAAAAACGTCTCTGGCCCTTCTGGGCACAATGTGAAAGGAGCATCTGGGGGTTGCCATGCTAATTCTCCCTCTCTGCCTACTCTGGGGAAGGGAAGTGGGGCTTGTTTCCACTAACATCATTATGGGCTGTTCTTTCACCTGTCCAGTAAGCCAAACCCAGCGTGCCCCTTCCTCTTCCCAGCTCATCCAGCACAGCTCCAGGGTGACAAGATAGCATCTCCTGCCAGTGGGGAGCACAGGGAGGGGCAAGGACATGGCTGGCTGCAGGATAACACAGCAGCAGCTCTGCACTGGGGCCACAGGGCATCCAACCACCACCCAGTGCCACAGGTCATCTTCAGGAGAGGGAGTAGCTGCCAGCCTCCATGACCGGCTCCCATTCCTGGGTTTTTGCCAGGGGATGTTGGGAATGAGGGCACTGCAGCGTGGTGGCTGGTACCCAGGGCTGTGCTCAGGCTGTGGTTGTAGAGAGCTCTTCCAGCTCAGGCCCTTGGGTCCTAAAGGCTGAAAGTTAGAGCAAGGACATGGTTTGGAGCACTGAATGTGACAGGAGGGAGCCAGGGTAATGGGGTTTAGTAAGAACAAGCATCATTTTTCAGTCAGAGGGTAAAATTTTAGGTCTGTCTGTACTTTTTACACGGTGACTCCAGTGGGGTAACTCTGCCTTCACATGGGTGGAGCTGGGATTGCAGCTGGCCCTGGCTGCTGGGCTCTGACCCCAGTTCATTCCAGAGCACTTCTGGAAGAGGAGGAATTCACGCAGCTGTCCAAAGGCAACAGGACAGGCCTGCTCAGTGCCCACTCACGCTGCTCCCCAGCCAGGCTGGAGCACAGCCCTTGCCCTGCCATGCTCTGCCTTTCCCCTGCTCCAGCACTTTTGACTTCACTCCCTGCCCAGCACCAGCACTGCTCGCTGGCCCCACCAGGCTCTGCCAGCCTGACACCTCTGCTGTGCTGGGCATGGGGCACATGAGCTGCTGCCACAGTGCTCTTCCAGACCTCTTCTCCCTGGCAGAGCCCAGAGGGTGAGCTCTTGGATTCTCACACACACACGGGGGCAACAGAGCCTGGGGAGCTGAGAGGTCCTTTTCACCTCCAGTTAGGGAATGGAAGGATGGGAATATTTATTTGCTGGAGCATGCTGCTCCCCTCAGCCAGGGGGTTCAGCCACAGCTTCAAGAAGTGCCCAAATGTCTGTTCACAGAGCGTGCCTACCGTCATGTCTGGGCTCCTCAGAGGACAAGAAGCGAATCCCGCTCCCCTCAGCGGCGCGCAGCTCCCCGCGCAGGCCCGGCTCCCGCAGCGCCTCCTGCAGCAGCACGGGCCGCTCCTCCCCCGCCTCCAGCCGCTCCTCGCACCGCCGGGCCTCGCCCAGCTCCTCCCGAAGCAGGTCCTGCTCCTCGGCAAGGAGGTAGGGCCAGCTGGAACGGCTGTGTCCATGACCCGGGGCAGTGGCTAGCTCTTGGCAGCCAGCAGGCTCCTTGCAGGGGGAGGTGTAAGAGTGTGGGATCCACAACTGGCCATGCAGAGCTGGGCTGAGACCCTGGGGAATGGGACATCTTTACCCGCTCATCATTTGGAGTAGTCTGGTACAGCCTCACCCTCCAGCATCTTTAACTCTTTTATGTTTCCTTCCTGTCTCCAGGTCTTCCTCACGTTCCCCCAGCTATTCCTCCAAATCCTGCAAAAAAAGTCCTGGGAGTAGAAGTTCGAGGCCTCGCCGGAGCCCCAGTTACTCCCGCTACAGCCGTAGCAGGTACAGCTGTCTGCTTGTGGCATCTGCTGTCCACCCATGTGGTACCTGCTGCCCCACACTTTCCCTGCCTCCATCGCTGTCGTGCTGCTGTGGGTGGTGGGCAGAGCCCGAGGCTCCAGCTGGGTCTGCCCACACAGCCAGCAGCCCTGTCAGACATGGATCTGATTGCAGCAGGGAAAGACACTCTGCTTTTGAGAGTCACAGCTCTGACAAAGAGTTGTCAGGCTCATGGAAGGGCCCCTGCTGTGAGGGCAGATGTCAGATGCCCTGAGGCTGGTGTTCACAGCCTTGCAGAGAGAAACACAGTCCAGGCACCTCTACTCCCTCCACACACCATAGGAAACAGCCTCCCAGTTCAACCCTAGAGATGCCTTTGGCAGGTTTTCCTGGTAGCACCTGTGCTGCTGTGAACATTTTGCAGCCTCAAGATCGTACATTGCCAGGGTCAATTCTTGCAGGCTTTGACAATCCCCGTGCTGGTGAGGAGGACACTTGCAGCATGCAGGGATCAGGCAGGCCCTTGACCTGTAGTGTGTTGCTTTGCAGATGGCACTGAGCAGGGTGTATGAAATCAGCCACGCTGCACAGAAGGGCCTGTGCTGACGTGTATGGGAATTTAACAAAAGAGAAAACCATAGCAACACCGGCACTCCTTCTGGCGAGGCTTACACAGCCCTGCAGGGCTACCAGGCCCTCAGCTCACGTGGGGCCTGCTGGCAGGGCTGCTCCTGCCAGCTCCAGCAGGAGCTAAATACACACTGCACCCACTGACACAGGGCCCTGGAAGCCATCTTAGCTTGGCAGTGCAAAGCCACTGGAAGACACTGCTGGTTGCAATTAGTGGTGCCAGTCTGTTTGTGCAGCTGTGTGAGCGCTCAGAGGTGACACCACCACAGCACTTAGAGTTGTCCCTTTTGGAGCTGAGCGTCCTCTGCCCATCTGTGCCTCCATGGTCAATGTCTGTCCATCCCTGACCCCCCCCAAGCCCCTGCAGTGACAATCCCCCTGCTGTGACTCCGCAGGGACCGCGAGCGGGAGCACAAGTACAGCTCCAGCGAGAAGGAGTCGCACCGGGAGCGACAGCGGCAGCGGCGGCGCCGCTCCTACTCCCCCCTGAGGAAACGCCGGAGAGACTCTCCCAGCCACCTGGAAGCCCGGCGCATCACAAGGCAAGGGGATGCTGTCCCGTCCTGCGGAGACAGGCTCGGCTGGCACTCCCCGGTGGGATGAGGGCTGTCCCTGGGTCCCAGCCCTTGCCAGAGGAGGTTTCTCCAGGAGACCGGGTTCCCTGAGCCTGATCAGCAGGCCCTTCCACCCCTCCTCTAGAGCTTGGGCATTTCCAGCTGGAGGCAGAGGGAGGATGGAGAGGGTCTCAATTTACAATAGCTGAAGGGAAAAAAGAAGATTAAGTAAGATTAAGAGCAGGGACTCAGGTGCCAAGAGCATTCCCTCACAGGTTTTTATTTCACCCTGCCCTGTGGTGGTGTCCCACAATGGAAAGAGTCAACTATTGACTCTGCCCTTCATGCAGAGGGCTCTTTGGGACAACATCAAATAGACTGAGTGGCTGGGATTTCCCCAGGGCTGTGGGGGTTGGTGGTTTGAATCCCAAGGCCCGTCAGCTACCTGACCTCTTTTTCCTTTTAAACAAACACAATCACATTTTTGGGATTATTGCCCAGAGTGAACGGTGCTTTTTGGAGATTTTGGCAGTAAGTGTGTCCTTGTGCTGCTGGTAACCCGCATCTCTGTGTCCCCACAGTGCCCGCAAACGCCCCATCCCCTACTACCGTCCCAGCCCCTCCTCGTCCAGCAGCGCCGGCAGCTATTCCTCCTGGTACAGCAGCTTCAGCCGCTCCCCGAGCCGCAGCCGCAGCTACTCCAGCTACCGGACGAGCCGCAGCCGAAGCTGGAGCAGCAGCCGGAGCTCGGGCCCCAGGAGCAGCCGCAGCAGGAGCAGGAGCTATGACTCAGGAGCCAGCTCCGACAGCCTGCGTCGTTAGGGAGTGCCACTGCTGGCTGACACCGGGTGCCGGCGTCACCGCCACATTCCTGGCATTCTCCGCTTCCTTCCCACCTACCTGGCCATCGATAGCAATCATCCCCGATACTGACGCGGTGGCACTGCCGGGTCCCCCTTCCCCGGTTGGGAGTGAGAGCCCTGGAGCGCCTGGTGCAGCCCCTCCTCCCCAGCGGAGCGGGTGGCTCCGTCCCAGCTCCCCAGGCCAGGCTGGAAGAAGGGTCGGTGCTTTAGAGAGGGTCTGTCAGCACAGACCTGCTCCATCCTCCCCGATGCTCCCATCTCCCCATTGCTACTGCTCTCCAAAGCACTACCAGTGGTCCAAAGGAAGGAACTCTGCTCCTTGCTCTTCTCACAAACCAGGAACCAACAAATTAACTTCTGCTGGAGAGACAGACCCAGTTGGGGAGGAGTTCGCTGGAAAACTTCAGTGATGGGTGGGGGAATGGCTGTCCCCACCAAGGCAAATACCAGGTCCTTTGGGTCTCTCCTCCAGAGCTGCTGCCCGCTCTGCAGAGAAAATATTTATTTTTTGCCAGTCAGCCAGTCCCTGCTATAAATAGAAGGCTAGAAATCCCTCCCAATGTACTTCCTGGGGGAAAAAAAAAGCCTGTTTGCTCTTTCTCCTGCCCTTTCCTACCAGGCAGCAGCACCTTTTGCAGGGTTGTTTTATCCCCCCAGCACTGAATCGCTTGCAAACCACCTGCTGAGGTCTGAAGCAGACCTGGGGCTGGTGGGGTACAAGGCAGAGGGGAGGTGGTGCCTTGCTGTGCTCCGAGGGCTGGGCCACGCAGGGGAGACAGGAGCTGTGGGGTTTCCCTCTTGGAGGAAGCCTCAGACAGGTTGGGTTTAGGTTCTTCTTCAGGGAGCATTGCCCTTGGATGCATTGCTGGTGGGACCAGAGGGAGGTGCAGAGATGGCAGTTGTGGGGTGCAGTCAGAACACACAGGGTTAAAAGGGCATTGCAAGAGCCAGGGGACCCCCATTCCCCTTCCTTAAAACACACAGCAGGATTCCAGGCAATCCTGGAATTCCTCCTTGAGCCCCTCTGGCTGCCCCAGGGCAGCATCAGCAGCACAGCTGCAGGGCCAGTGCCAGGCAGGATGCACTGGTGCCCCAGTTTGTTACTGGGAGGCTGGAGCAGTGCAGGGGGACGGGAAGGGCCCCCACTAATTGCCTGTTTTGCCAGGGAGCCACAGGCTGCCCTGGGCCCTGGGGTTTTGTCTCCGTGCCAGCCCAGCTGCCTGCGCAATTACTGTGTTTTGCCGGGTAACAAAAGCTTCTCCCAGCACAGGCTGAGCTGGTGCCGAGGAGTTTATTTCTCTTACAACACCTGGGTGCTTAGAGACGCTAATTTGGGCTTAAGACTTCCCTCCCTCCCTTTTTCCATCCCCTCCCCTTCCATCCTGCATGATTATTAACGAGTTTGGGCTTAATGAGTCAAGGAGGTGTGTGTTGTTTAAGTGTTACAGAAAAGGGCTGAGTGCAGCCACCATCTGCAGGAGGAGAGGGGCTCAAAAAGAATGCAACCCACCCCCCATCTACAGAATTATCTACAGGCCCCTGGCAGCTGGAAAAGGGACAAAGCAGCAAGGGGAGGAAGGCTGAGTGCCACGAGCTGCTGTGGTGGAACTGGATGATTGCCTCAGCAAGCCTATAAATCTGTTATCTGTTGGAAGGTACAGCAGCACAGGCAGGGATTCCATCTGGGTGGTACAGGAGGAAGTTTTATGTCAGGGCCATCTTTCCCAGGATCTTTCCTGGTGCTGGTTCCCCTTGTCCTGTGCCTTCAATGGCCAAAGCTCCCCCTTTTCCCAGACCCTCATCCCTCACCTTGCTTGCTGCAGGCAGTGTGAGGATGAGGGGGCTGAGGCAGAGAGCTGGGCGCTGGTGTGGTTGGTTTAGTGGGGATGGGTCCAACCTCTGGGAAGATCCTTTCTGGGATACAGAGAGAAGTGCTCCTGGCAGGGCTGAGCAAATGCTCCAGGGATCAAAGACAGGATGCCACTGCCCTCCCTCCTGTGCTGGCCCCAGCAGCAGCCCCTTGGCCACCCTCTGCAGCAAACTCCCTCTCAAAAGGGCTGAAAACTTCATGCTTCTTCCCCAAAGAGTCTCTCCCAGTCTGATGCTGAAATGCCCCATCCTTCTGCTCCCTGGGAAGATCCAAAGGCAGTGATGGGATCCCAGACCTCCCCAGCTCTCCCAGTGTTTCAGGAGCACCCCCTGCCCCTTGGCACCCCGTAATGCACACGCGGAGCTGCAGCAGGGAAGCAGCGAGCCTGGAGATCCAAAACCAGGGAAGGAAAGGAAAGAAGAGGGGCTTTGTGCAACTGGTGTAAATACCAAACTCACACTGACTGGAATCCTCGTGGCTGGGGACAGATGATGGAAGCACCACAGCAGGGTTGGCAGCACCCACCCCGTGTGGGTCAGGGGTTGTGTGGGGCAGCTCCTGCACTCGTCCAGCTGATCCCTCCATCAAGGACTGCCTCTGCCTGAACAGTCCATGGCAGCTAAATGCTCCTAGGGTTTTCCCAAGCAGACTTGCATTGGAGTAAACCTCTCTAAATTATTTATTTATTTATTTATTTAATATTATTATTATTCTATTTTTAATTGTATGTCAGAATGGACCAGTATTTATTTATTCTGATTTTTTTTTTCTAACGTTAAGTTATTTTTGGATCTGTTTGTTTGTTCAAATGTATCCATGCCGCCGGTCTCGTGTAAAGGTTTACAGCTGTGGCCCCTCTCAGTGAGGTGGCCGGAGGAGTGACAGTCACTCCTGCTGCCACCGTGTCCCTGTGCGCTCTCAGGGACACACGAAGGGACGCAGGGCAGAGCTGCGCGCTTTCACCTTGGAATCTCGGGTTTCTCATTAGATTCGTGCAGGAATGCGATGGGTGTGAGCGCAGAAACGGGTCTGGGACGTGTCGGAGGTGACAGCGAGGGTCTGCCTGCCGGCCGAGCCGGGGTGCTGGCGGTGCCACCAGCGCAGTGTCGCCTGCGCGGGCCGGCCGGGAGCCAGCTGGCCCCGCGCTGTTTGCCTTGGCTGCGCCGGCTGCGCTCAGCCCGAAACCCGCCCGCTCCCGCAGCCACCGCCGCGCTCCCGGCCAGGATGCCGGGACTGCCCTGCCGTGTTCATCCCTGCCCGCTGACCCACCCATGGGAAAACAAAGGAGATGAGACTGTGAGAAAGCGATCCCCGCGGAAGGTCCTTGCAAAATCCAGCCTCTGGTGACGGATCTGATCAAGGCTCCGTGTGTATGTGTGTGTGTGCACATGTGCATATACATGTGAGTCTCCCTCGGTGTTATTTATTTTTTAACTTATTTAATATTTTTAGTACAAGCTTTAGTACACCCTTCCTGTTAGTGGACAGATGGGGTTTCTGTGGGTTTGTGTGAAGCTGTGAGTTTTTCTGTCTCTGTGCCTTTTGCCAGTGCTTTTTAATTTTTTTTTTTTAAGTTGTTTCTCTCATTCACTGCTTTTATGGATTTTTGCTCTGTATCCAGCATCTGAGATTGCTGCAGGTGCTGTCTGCAAAGAGCAGGTTCACCTGGAGGAAAGGCAGCTGGGTCACTTTGGTGTTGGTGAATTGCTGCTGTGGTCAGACACACAAGGGGTGTTCAGGGCTGGCCACAACATCAGGATAATATCTGGGCTGGTTTTTGGGAGTCTCACACTCAAAGGCTCTTTCCCAGCCATGATTTTGAATCATCCCACAAGAACCCCTGCTGCCTTTCCCTGGCAGAGCCCATGTCACAGAGCTCTTTCCCAAATGTCCCTTTGACCCTGGAGCCATCAACTCTCCCCATTCACTGGACCTGCCTTGGCTCTGGGTTTGTCCCCCCTGTCCCAACCCCGTGCTCCAGAAAATCCAACACCATTTCTGCAGGTTTGCTGGGAAGCAAAGACAAGGGATGTTTCAAATCACTGTTCTTCTGTTCTTTCTTCATTGGTTGCAGCACTCGGCTGAGCTTTGCTTTATGTTAACTGCAATTTTCTCAATGTTTTTGTTGTTTTGGGGACTGAATTTGCACCAAACTTGTCTGCAACAGCCAATCACTGTTATTTTGCTATGCATTGTACATATATTGAACAGGCTGAGAGGACTTGGCCTCTATTTAATATTTATTTCTTCTATTTATTGAGCATTACTTTAAAAAAAGCTATTTGGATGATACTGTTGGGTCCATGAAGGCAGGAGCTTTTGAAGTGGTGCCAGATATCTTGGAGAGAGGAAGGCAAATTTGGTTCATTTGGACCTCACCACCAGTACTTAGAGAGGAACCTCATTGTGATGGAGATGGGCAAGGCAGGGGAAAACTCTCAATTTCCTTGAAGCAGCTTCTGTTGACAAATCACATCCCCCTGGAAAGAAATGGGGAATTCAGAGGTGACAGCCAGCTCTGGTGGAGGAATAACCCTGCTCCTCTTACTCTGTCATGTGGCATAGGGCTGCCATCACCAAAAATCCCTGGAGTTCTCTGATCTCCCACTGCTGGTCCCCTCTCCCCTCTGGAGGTTGGGGACACTTGTCACCCTTTGGATCGGTGATGAGGAAGGGAATAGGATGGAAGTGACTGGCCGTGGTCTCCACCAGGAAGGAAGGATGCCCACCCTGCCCCATCCTGAGACCCCCGTGCTGTGCCCTGCTTTGCCCCCTTCCCCAGGCTTTGTGCCAGCAGCTTTTCCCTGGTGTGACCTCAGTAGCTGGCAGGGCTGGGAGGCCTCCCCTGCTGTGTCCAACACAAGCAGAGCTTGCTGCAGGCACCCTCCCCCAGCTTTGAGAAGAGCTAAAATGAGATGTACTGAAAGTCCCACCCTGCCCCAGCATCGCTCCACCAAGGCTGCAGCCACTGCTCTGCTCACCCGGGGAGGTGTTTGTGCTCCTGGGGCAGAGCTGCCTGTGCTGCTGAGGGTGGGCACAGCTCCAGTGCCAGCCAGTGACACTGGGCTGCTCCTACAGAGCTGGCCCAGAGCTGCTGGGTGCTCAGCCAAGGCCTCTTGGGGTATTTGAGAAAGGGGCAGGTTCAGGTGCCTAAGGGAAGTCTTTGCCCTTTAGTGTCCAGTGGGGTTTTATGACCTCTTCACCAGAGAATAAATCATTCTCATCGCTTTGCTGCAGCCTGGTAGTTTGCACATGACTGGAAGGGTCTCCAAAGCAACAGTGTCATGGTCAAGGACCCCAGTTTTGGGCTATTGCCTAGAGAACACTCTCACCAGCCCAGGGCAGCTCTCCACCTTTGAAACCCTGTGAATGAGCAAAAGATGTAGATCAAAAGCCCAGACGTGAGAAAATCCAGGAGGGAAATGGTGCCTCTGTTCTCTGCCTGTTGGTTGATTCCATCCCCACCGACACCGGCACATCTGTTTGAGTTCACTGTAAAGCTCCCCTTGCTCTCCATCCACATGTGTTCTGTATCCTTTAGTCTTCCTGGGTGTTTGAGTTGTTAGCCTGGTTAGAAAAAGGTTCCAATAAAGGTTTGGACAGTATTTCCTTTGCATCATGTTCCTTTTGCATACAAGTGCGTGCGGTGGGATATTTCGGGTTGTTTCAGCTGCTCTGCAGGGAAGGGCATGTGCCTCCACTCCCAGCTGCTGAGGACTGGCTCCTCAGGGCACTGGCTGAAGCAAAAAAAAGTTGTGGGCTAGTATTTCTGGCAGCTCTGCTTTCCCTGCTGGGCCAGGCTCCTGCTGCCCTTTGCCAGGCCCTTGGATCCCCCCACCTTGTTCAGGCACCGGGAGTCCAAGCCAGAAATGTGCCCATCTGTCCCTGGAGGTCACACTGGGCTCACCAGTGCTCTCCTTGGGGCTGTGCCCTTCCCTTCCTGCACAGAGTTCCCATGCCACAGGGTCCTGCCATTGGCACCTTCTGGGCAGCAGCCCGGGGCAGTGGGGACTCTCCAGCACCCTGAAGTCCCCCAGGGGAGCAGCAGCACTGGGCCATGTCCCCATGTCCCCATGCTCCTCAACAGGGCTCAGATGGCACTCAGGAAAGGTCTGGGCATGGCACAGGTGGGGACACGGGGCAGCATCCCCAGGTCACCCAGAGGAGAAGGGGGGCTGCAAGGGCACTCCATGCTTCCCAGAGCTGATGTGGGGTGGCTCGGGATGGGAGGCAGCCGGGAGGATTGGAATGACAACAGGAGCTAAATTGGGATGGCCCAGAGAGGGTGAGAGCAGGCGGGAGGAGGGGACGTGTGACTAATGGGGATGAACAAGGCGACAGAAAGAATTCCTGGCCGGGGAGGGAGGATGGCCTGGAGCTATGTGGGCAATGTGGGATGGGGGATGTTGTCAGGCTCCTGGAAACACGGCAGGATCGTGGGACTGCCTGAAACCTCCTCGGGGCTTGTCCCTCTCACCCCGTGTGCTGCTGTTTGCCCAAGGGGGTGGCAGGGCTGGGTGCTGGGGCGATCCTGCTCCCCAGCCAAGCTGTGCCCAGCTGAGCTCAGGCTGTGTGTGACAGTGACCCCCAGGACTGTCCCCGTACTGTCACCCACGGGCACCGGGAGTCCCCAGGCAGGCAGAGGCAGCCGGGCAGGACAAGGGAATGGAGGGGGATGCTCAGTCCCTCCAGCAGCAGCTGCCTCCCCACACCAGGAGTACTCAGCTGGGACCTCCTCGGGCACCTCCAGGCATCCCTTCGGACCCCAGGGAGACCCCTGTGAGTCCCCATGCTTGGGGGGCACCCCTGGCCTAGCCAAGGAGAGGCAGCTCCCCGTCCCCAGCGTGATTAATGCCATGGAGCCACCAGCGGCTCCATCCCTGAGCGGCCTGTGCTGCATTAAAGCTGCAATTACTTCCACAGAGTCCATTAGAAAAATTGCAGATGCTGGAGAGAAGGAGCATGATGCAGAGCCAGGATGCGGCATGAGGAAGTGCCAACGTCACCCTCATCGATCACATCCCATCCTCCAGCGCTGCCCACCGGAGCCGTGCCCGGACCGCCTCCATGGGGTCCCCGTCCGTGCCAGCCGTTCCCCCGCCCGTGGCCGGGCTCGGGCCGTGTCCCCGGTGATGCTGGCTCGGAGCTGCCCCTCCAGCGCTGCTGCCGCGCCCCTTCCCACAGCTCGCAGCTCGCAGCCCGCTCCCGCCGCTGCCCTGTAATTACGGGCCCGGCCGCGGCTGTGATTAACGCCTCGCCCTGCCCGCACCGCGATTGCGGCAGGGCCGGGACATGCGGCGGGACCAGGAGGAGGGGGACCAGGAGGAGGCAGGTGCTGAGCAGCGCTGCTGCTGCCCAGGGTCCATCTCTCCTTCCTGCAGTTCGGGGATGCTTCTCCGGGCCCAGCCGGTGACGATGGCCAGAGAGGCACCCCGGAGAGGCTCATCCTGTGCCCCTGCCCCAAACACTGCCCACACACCCCCGTGGGGTCGCACTGCCGGGGGTGCCAGCAGTGGGTGACCCATTTCCCGGCACGGCGGTGTCCTGGGGACACGCGGCTGTACAGTGAGGGGAGCAGCTTGCTCAGCCCCACCGCGGTATTTTTAACAGGTGACAGCGGGGTGAAAGCAGCCAGCCCCGGGTGAGCTTGGGGGCTATTTTGGGCGGGCAGAGCAGCAGGAGGGGGCGGCAGGGGCTGGGGCAGCTGCCGAAGCGCCGCGGCCCCGTGGCAGCCGGGATCCTCAGCAGAGGTCAGCTGCCACTGCCCAAATTCTCCTCGGCTGTTTCATCCTCTCCAAAATACTCGGCTGACAGGGCAGGACTTGCAAAACACACACCCCCCTCCTCCGAAATCCATATAAATAGTACTCGCCCAACGGCTGGAAGGTTAGAGAAGTTTCTGGGCTCCAGGCTCAGGCATTTATTGCAGGTCTCACCCAGGAGCAGCAGGGAAAGTTGCACATAAAGTGCTGGAGAGTGAGAAGTGAGAGAGAAGCTTTTTAATCTCAGGATATTTGGGTTTATTATTTTTTTTTCTCTCTCCTGACAAGAAGTTTTATTTTCCTCTCCCCAGTCCTGGGATCACAGCCAGACAGGAAGCGTTTTCTCGCGGCCAGAGAGCTCCCTCCGTCCTTCCTGCGCTCCTCCAGCTCCCGGTGATTCAGCCCGAATTGATTTTCTCCTCGTCCTTCACCTGGTGCCGGGAAGGAGGCACCGTCCCCGCGCACCCGCGTCCCACCCGGCGTGGATGCGCCTCCTCCGGGACAGGCTCCCGGGGGAAGTTTGCAGCCAGGAGCAGCCGCACAGAGGCTGAGGCTCCGTGTGAGAGCCGCGGGGACACGCTCAGACCCCTCGGAAGGCAGCCATGGCCGACAGCCAGATGCCCTTCTCCTGCCACTACCCCGGCAGGCGCAGCCTCCGCGACCCTTTCCGGGAGCCCGGCCTGACCTCGCGCCTGCTGGACGATGACTTCGGCTTGTCGCCCTTCCCCGGGGACCTGACGGCGGACTGGCCCGACTGGGCTCGGCCCCGGCTCACCACCACCTGGCCGGGCCCGCTGCGCGCCGGGCTGGGCCGCACGCCCCCCATGGCCCCCGCGTACGGCGCCCACTTCGGGGGGTACCCCGAGAGCCGCAGCCCCGCGCCCTTCCCCCGCGAGCCCTGGAAGGTGTGTGTCAACGTGCACAGCTTCAAACCCGAGGAGCTCACCGTCAAAACCAAGGATGGCTACGTCGAGGTGTCAGGTGAGAGCCAGGGCAGCGGGGAGGTGGCACTGCCAGCTCAAGGAATGGCTGCAAAGTGCCAAAATCGCCTTTGTTTTAAGGGGGTGGCAGAACCCCCTGCCTGGGAGCTTGAGGGGGCTGCAGCAGGGCTTTGGGGCATCTCCAGAGGCAGTTTGGGTGTCACAGGGGGGGTTTGGCTCACAAGCCATGGTGGTTTGCTGCCAAAATGAGAAAGGACACGTGTCCTTTGGGGTAGATCTCCCTGCTTTGTGCCCTGGCTGGCAGCACCCGGAGCCAGCAGCCAAGAGGGGCCCCAGCTCTGCTCGGTTAATTATAGCCAGGGTGAGGTCGGCACGGAGGGAGATTCCCTTTAAAGGGGCCGAGGGAGAGGCTGGGAGGAAAGGAGCAGCTGCTCACAGCCCCCAGCCCAGCCTGGCTGGGTCGGCCACAAACACATCCCTGAAATGTCAGTTAATGTCGGGAACAGTGGGTGTGGGGTCCAGCACTTCTGGGGTGCCCACGACTGCCGTCAGTGTCCCATCAGCCTGGCACTGACATTCCCATTGTCCCTGGGTCCTCCGGGCTGGGATCACCAGGGAGGGCTGGGGGCTGCCTCCTAACACAGCTCTGAGTGTTTGTTTGGAGCTCATTGCAGCACAGGGGGAAAGCCACAGCTCAGGGGTGTCCAGGCAGCCTCTGGCTGGTGATCCAGGTTCAGGGGCCCCCAGCCTGACAGAGGGGTGGAAAGGAGCCCATCCTTGGGGGTGAGGCCAAGGGGGATGCTGCCACCTACACTAGTTTTATTATTTGTTTATTTTCTTAAGCCCCAGCCCTTGGCAGCCTGTGAGACCCCAGTTTTCCACTGGAAATGTGGCTGTGCTGTGTCTAGCATCTCCTTCCCCACATGGAGAGGCTTCCTGAGCCCTCCCCAGAGACAGAGTTTGCACTGGGGCAGGGAAACAGCTGCTTGGAAAACTCCTGCTGGGTTCAGTTGTTGTTGTTTGTTGGGGAAAAAATAATAAGGTGTTGATGTGGGGTGTTGGCCTTCCCCGCAGGCAAACACGAGGAGCAGCAGGTGGAAGGAGGGATCGTCTCCAAGAACTTCACCAAGAAAATCCAGTAGGTACCGGCTGGTCCGGCCGAGCTCTGCCAGTCCCCGTGCCCCAGCTCACACACGCAGGGACTGTTCCATCCCAAAATCTGCTCCTCTGCAGCACCTGCCTGGCCTGCCCGGGCCACGGGGTGATTTCCCAAGGGAAAGAGAGGAGGAGGAGGCCTTTTTCGAGGCGCTCTGTCAGTCTGCTCCATGCCCGGGGCTGCGGACAGGAGGGGAGCGGGGAGGAGGCGAGCCCGGGAGCAGCGGGCACGGCGGGCGGGCTCCATCCCGGCACATCCCCGCATCCCCATGATGTCAGAGCGATCGCTATCGCCGTGACTCACCCGCGGCTCGCTTTGGCAACAACACCGCAGAGGCGAGCCCCGACCGATGCGGGGGGCAGGTCCCACCCGCGGGGCTCGCACGGGGTGAACGGCGAAAAGCATCGAAGCCCAGGGCATGGGAAGGGTTTCCTCGGCTGGCAGCGGCTCCGCTTTGCTTTTCCAGCCTGGAGGAGCGCTGTGCGTCCCGAGCTCCCACGGGGAGCTGGGGCTCGCTGCTGCCGGGCGCTCGGGCTCCTTTTACGGGCAAGGCTGGCCGGGGTTTTCTCCTGCCCCGCGCTGCGCTGACATGCCGTCAAACACATCTGCCGGGAGATTAAACAGAGCTCCCGCGGGGCCAGGAGCCCGCTCCAAATATCCCCCGCACATTCCCAGGCGCTCCAGCAATAACAGAGGCTTTGCCGGGGCGCCGGGGCTGCTGCCTGGCCCCGCTGGGGCTCCGAGGG